TCATAGGTTTCATAGATTTCATAGACATTAGGGACAGAAGGGACCTTGTAAGATCTTTGGGTCCAGCCCCCTGCCCAAGGAGCAGGAAGTCAGCTATGGTCAAAGGATTCCAGCAAGATAAGCATTTACTTGTTTCTCAAAAGTGTCCAGAATAGGTGCTTGCACTCTCTCTGGGGTGAATCTATTGCAGGCCTTGGGGGCTCGAACAGTAAAGAAGTTTTTCTTTATGTCCAGCCTAAAATGGTCTTGGAGGAGTTTGTGACCGTTGGACCTTATCATTCCTTGGGATGCTCTGGTAAACAGGCATTCTTCCACATCCTGATGCACATACACACTTTTTGACTACTGAAAAATAATAGAGCAGTTTTTCTGTTGCAAAGAACTTACAGACCACAGCTATGGATTTCTATTTGAAATCTACAGGTTTATCTAAACCTAACAGACACATTGTTTGGCACCCAATGGCACCCCTCAGAGGATTTCATGGTGTACACCAGGGTTCTGTGACATCCTGATTGAGAATATAAATCTAATTAATAATGATACTTTGTCTAAGCTGCTAATTTTATTTTCATAAATGCACAAATTGATCAGTAAATGAGTCATTGCTAGTAGACTTTTAGATATTACTGCTGCAATAAAATAAATAGGCAGTGATGAATAATTTGAGTTCAGTTCTAAGTGTTTGTTAAGTAGTTCATACATTCGACACATGGTATTCACCAAAAGGAATATCTGAGCAGTGCAAACTTGTGGCAGTGTTCAGAGCAGGACTATTGAACATATTTTTGTACTCTGTTTAGAATTTCCTGTTGCACATTCATTGTATTTTTCTGTACCTTTAATTGTAGGTCATAGAAGGTATTCATGGCCATAAAGTTTTACCTTCCTTAAAAAATTTTAAGCGACCAACAACAGCTTTTTAAATAAAATGACCTTTTGCTTTGCTTTACTTTTTACACTGCATAAAGGAGCTTATTAAAAAAATGGTGGTTGCAGATTAATTTTGCTTGATTTCTGGCCTTAAAAATATCAGGAATGTAATGCTAACCACTTTATTAATAGAGCTTTTGGGATGAGGTCTTAAAGCACATATATTATAAGTTGGTATATCTTAATTGAAAGAACATAAATATTGAAAACATATACTTTCTCCAAAATTATTTATTACTTATTGGAGTTTAAATAACTTGACAAACAAAACAATAACTAAAGAGTTTTATGCCTTCTGCCTAAAAATATCCCTTTCTTTTTCCTTGCAGTTGCTCATCTTTCAATAGCTTGAAGTTTGTGGTATTCTTTTATTTAAAATATTAAAAATATTCTCCTCCAAATGCACACTTAAAAAACCCAAAATATTTCTAGCCTTCTGCATAAAGAACCAAAAAGTGGGAAAGTTCCTCCCTCTCCTCTTGCTCCCTTCCACTTCCCCGTTGCCCTCCATACATTGTACCTGTTTTTTAAGCCAAGATTTAGAATCTGCTTTTTGACAGCTTATAGCATTTGTTGTTGTGTTTGTCCAAGGGCATTCAGAAATAAATTTTTCCAGCCACGAGTGTGGGGAGGAAAAAAGTGCTGCCAAGCTGACAAGGTTGGAATATATTATGAACATAAAGTAAAGTTATGCATTTGTTGCCATTAACAGAGATAACAAAAAGTAACTTTATATTCTCCTGTGCATATTCAAATATCTCACATTTGTTTTTAAGACAAATGAGATACTGGGGAAAAAAATTCAGAAGTTTGAGTTTTGTTGACTCCTGTTGAGACTTAGCATCCTCAGGAGTCTGTCACTTCTCATAATGGGATTTAAACCATGAAGTTATTTGGGCAGTTTGAAGATTTTTACCTAATACGTACAAAAAAAAGACCGGCTCAATTGGTCTTTATTTCCTGGAGTTCACACTTTCACAAACAAAGCAATATCTTTCTCCCTTCAACATTTCATCATAATCCTGTTCTCCTCAGCAGTGTAGAAGTGCCCTGATACTATTAAAATCTAATATTATAAAACCCTTAGTCTGTCTGTCTTTCTGTCTGTCTATAACATCCCACAAGGTACTGGTCAGAAAACTGGAAGATATTGGGCTCGACTGCAGGGCCGTCAAGTGGGTGTGAAACTGGTTGCAGGGTAGGACGCAGAGAGTCCAGATGAATGGATTGGTGTTGTCCTGGCGAGATGTGGGCAGCGGCATACCCCAGGGGTTGGTACTTGGCCCAGTGCTGTTCAACATTTTCATCAACAACCTTGATGAGGGGGTGAAAAGCCCATTGGCCAAGTTTGCAGACACACCTGCAGATAGGCTGAAGATACAAGCAGAGGTAGGCATGTTGGGCAGAACAGAACCAGATGAGGTTCAACGTTCAGAAATGCAAAGTGCTGCATCTGGAAAGGAAGAACCCCCAGCACACCTACAGGCTAGGCAACACTAACCTGACCAGCACTACAAATGAAAGGGATTTGGGGGTAACAATAGACCTCAGCATGAATATGAGCCAGCGATGCAACACAGTAACCACTAAGGCCAATAAAACCCTGGCATGCATCAATCGATGCATCTCCAGTAAAACCAAAGAAGTGATTCTCTCACTTTACTCAACATTGGTGCGGCTGCAGCTGGAGTATTGTGTCCAGTTCTGGGTACCACACTTCAACAAGGATGTGTTAAAGCTTGAGAGGGTCCAGAGACAGGCCACCTGTATGATCAGAGACTTGCACAACAGGCCATGTGAGGAAAGGCTGAGGGATCTTGGACGCTTCAGCCTAAATAAAAGAAGGCTGAGAGGGGCCCTGATTGCAGCTTACCACTATATCAGAGGCATACATCATGGGCTCGGTGAGCAGCTGTTCACCAGGGTGCCCTGGGGGAAAACTAGAAACAACAGCCACAAACTCCTGAAAGACAGTTTCAGCCTGAACATTAGGAAAAACTTCTTCACAACTAGGGTGTCCAGACTATGGAACAAGCTCCCCCCAGAGGTGGTGCAATAATTTACCCTAGAGGTCTTCAAGAGAAGACTGGACGATCACCTGGCTGCAGTCACCTGACCCCAGATGTCTTTCCTGCTCGTGCAGGGGGCTGGACCTGAAGATCCTTCAAGGTCCCTTCCAGCCCTATGATTCTATAATGCTTTATTCATACTCTGATTGGCTGTGTGAAACAACCAATCGGAGTGCTCCAAGAGCGTTCAGACAGAAGACGGTGTGGCAGAGCAGGGGGAGGGGGAAGCAGGGTTGTTCCCCCCCCATCCCTCGACTGGACAAGAAGCAGGGGTGGGGCCGGATGCGGGGGAACGCGGAGCTGCTGGGCACCGACAAAAGCCGGCAGGGAAAGGGGGGGGCCATAGTGGTGGTGCCCCGCCCACTGTGACACTGGGGAGTGTGCTGCTGCCATGGGGCCCTGTCAAGAGCTGGCAAGGAGGGGGAGGGGGGACACAGTGATGGTGCCCTGCTGCTGCCAGGCCCTGCCAACAGCTGGGAGGGAGGGGAGGCAGGTAGATGGGTGAACAGGCCCAGACCCGGAGCGTGGGGGTGGGGGGGAATGGGCCTGGACCCAGAGGGGGGTGGGGGAACAGGCCCAGACTTGTGGGGAATGGTGGAGCAGGGCCAGACCCAAAGTGCATGGGGAAAGCGGGGGCTGGACACGGGCCTCTGTCCTTGCCCCCTGTCATTCTTGATGGGCAATTGGCTAGTCATCCAGATATTTTTCTGAGAGGAAGGAACCTAGAATCTAGCTAGCCAAACAGCTATCTTGAAAATGAATTAGACTGGAGCAGCGGTTCCCAAAGTCTGACAGATTGCACACCACCAGTTTAAAACGATACAACCTTAAGTACCACCAGCAAATTTTTGTCATATAAAGTAATTATAATAAATCTGTTAATGTGTATCACTGACGGGTTTTCTGCGTACCAGTGGTGGTACGTGTACCACAGATTGGGAACCGCTGGACTAGAACACTGAGATCATATCCATGTTTTTCCTTGCCTCTAAATAGGTTAGTGAGCCTGCTGCTTTGCCACCTTGGGATTGCCTCACCTAATTCTTTAAACACAAATGTAGGCTTTGCATCAAGCTAAGAAATAAATCAGCAAACAAAACGTTTAGCCTTTCTCTGGGCCCCTTAGCTCTGACTCAGTACCATAGCATAGCCCCTTCCTGACAGCAAGTTTATCTGGATTTTAGTCTGCCTTTTGCCCACAAACTGCTTCTTCTCCCAGCTTGTCTGCTCTGCTTTCTCCTCTGGACTTTTAACTGTGAGTGAGATACTCCCTCATTAGCTATCTGTCCACAGCTGGGCTTCTACAAGAGTCTTGTCTGCTCCCTCTTAAAAAGCCAAACCATCCTATTACACCTTATTAGTTCCTCTCTTGATGGCTCCCTTTTTGCATTTCTCAGCAGTTGACACATATATTCCAGCCCTCAGATGTGTTCGCAAAAGGCTACTTAAAATAGAAATGTCATATTGCTGCTTCCATTAGTGCAGTATAAACTGGCAGCAGCCATTTTAACACCTGTGTTAAGAGCCATCTAGTTATACCTCTGGGTGCAGACATTTCAGATGCTTCTCTAGATACGTGAGCTCTGATACTTCATAAGTTTCATGGGCAGTAGTAGTATCTCTGGAACTGTGAAGTTGTGTATCTCAGGACCCTTTTTCCATCCTACTCAAATCTTTCCTTTGTGCCTCTCCATGCCATGTTAGGTTTTATATTTGAATTTTAAAACAGTGAAAGTATTTATTTTGAAATGGTTCTGGCTAATATGGTTTGAGATGTAATTTAGAAACCTCAGATAAGATTTTGATAAAAACAAAATGCTGAATTTTAATAATGTTTTACAATGTTCACTAATACTATTCAAGGTGAACATAGAAAAGTAGGGCTGGTGGGGACCTTGGGAGATCATCTAGTCCAATGCCCCGGAAGCAGCATCCATTGAAAATGTTGTCAAGACTGCTTAGAATTAATTTGTATTTCATTATCTCCTGAATTTGCAGACCTACTTCTTTGGCTTGGGAAGTTAAGAAGATGTCTCCGGGACGCCATGTAATCCCAAGTCCATCAACAGACAGAATCAATGTAACATCAAATGCTCGGAGAAGTTTAAATTTTGGGTATGAGACCAAGTAGTAAGGGTTCTGATGAAAAGCTAATTAATTTAATTTCATGTTGTAGCTAATGTATTTTTATTTGTTTTCTAAGCCATATTTGAACCCAAAAATTGGTGTGTGAAAATGAGAGAGAGAGTACCTCACACACACAAGCTTTAAAAAACCTACCTTTTTTATATTTTTTGGTTTGGATTTAGTTAGACTTTTTATTCCTTGGTGTTTCAGTGACCAGAAGATAGAAAAATCAATACAGTTTAATGTTAACTGTTTAATAGGCATTTTCTTTTACAAAACAAAGGTCAAAATATATGTAATTGACATTTTAAAAGTGCCTGTGTATGCACCTGTGTGTGGCCAGCTGAGTGTGCAGGAAGTAAATATTGATCCCTAACAATGAATGTAAAATGAGATTATTATGAGTTTGATGAATAGCAAAATGTATATTAGTCTGAAAGAAAATACTTAATATTACAATACTGAATCTCTTATTCAGCTAACTGCCAGAATTCAATATGTGGCAGGAGACACATAATAAAACATGCATTTAAATTATTTAACGTTGTTTCAGGGCAGCAGTGCTCTTAGTAAAACCCCTGTTCAGGAAAGCACTTTATGTATATACTTTGAATACCTTTCTTTTTAAAGGCCTGTTTTAAGTTAAGTCAAGTGTGTTTAAGTTCTGTCCCCAATAGGATGGTTTTCTCAACAAGAAATAGGAGATCTGTTACAAGGATAAATGGCCACTGTAGTTCCAATGTTCAGTTGCCTTAAGTTTATATATTGGATCAAATATTTCTAAGTAATGATCTGTAATTGCACAGAAATTGGTTTATTAACCAAGGATATATAGTATTAAAAATAAATAGGCTCAATTTAAATGTTTCTCAGAAATACCAAGTAATTTTCACAGGGCCAATCTAATCATAAGAAAACTCTTCAGTGCTCTCGGTTTATTCTTTTTTTAAAGGCATTTGCAGTTATTTAATCAGTGGTGTGGTAATTTAGGCCCTCATTCTTTATTGAGAGCTCCCTGGTGCACACTGCACCCATGCCATCCTCGGTGTAAGATTGGAACCTAACTGGAAGCCCTCACTTGATAGGCTTAGTATGGAATATTATTGTAGCATCCTCCTTGGCAAATAATGTGGGATTGTGAGGTTCATTGGTTTTCAAACGTGTGTGTCGATAGTAACCTACAAAGTAGCATGGATCATGGATTTATTTAGCTAGAGGTATAGTTAAAACCCAGAGATTATGATGGATATGTGTAGTGTAGCTATGTAGTGGAAGCCTGCTGTTTGACAAACATCCTGTCCTTGGTTAAGCTCAGTGCCCATTCTATGGACATCTTGGGCAGAAACCTCTTTTGGCAGAAACCTCTTTTGGAGAGTTGTGCAGTTGGCTAACTGGTGCTCCTTGTGCACTTTTTTGTTTTAACAAACCTGAGATTAATGCTTTAGATTATGCTTTTTATGGACACCATGCTCTTTCACCACTGAAATACTCAAAATATTCCTTCTCCTTTAGCTTCCTTTTAGTTTGTAGTTTGGGACATTAATATTTCACTGCTATTTTGAGTATAAAGAATCTCACTTTGGGCCTCCAAAAATTGTGTATGGTTGGGAATGGTTTAGTGACAAGGTAGGACTGTCCCCAAAATATTTTTTAAATTTGTTTGCTTGTTTCTGGGTGCCTGTTTCTATTAATACAGTCACCTACCTTCAAGTCAGCCAAAGTTTTATGGAGGATTTGTCCTTTGCTTCCCACATGCCACCCTCAAGTTAAATGGCTTGCTGCCGTAGTAACTAACTCTGGAAACTGAAGTGGTAGGAAGAGAGGGACATAATAGGCTGCCTGAAAAGGAAAAGTGCCAGAGTATGAGCTTTCTGTTGGTTCCCAGTAGGTTCATTTTTTGGAGCTGCTCATTAGTCTGAGTTAGTAAAAGCCTGGACACAAAAAGGAAAGTTAAATAAGAAAATCTCCAAAAAAAACATTATTTGATTAGAAACTTCTTTCCTTCTTCTTTTGTCTTTTTTAACTTAGAAACCCATCTGTGACAATTGCTGCTACCCGTTTGGCTCCCTCAGGTGTAAGTTGGGCAGATAAGGTGAAAGCCAGCCATGGAGCTAAATCTGTTACTCCAGAACTAGCAAGTACACAGCCTTATATGCCAACACCAGGGCAGAAGTCATCAAGGAGAAATGGTAAGTGTCTTTAAGTAAGTTGTCATTTAAAATATTTTTTATGGCTCAGCTATTGAAACTTAGTTCAGAATGCCAAGGTTTATGTCATAACAAAAGTAAATTTATTTGTCAAAACTTTTGTTATGCAGCACGCCAGTTTAACTTTACATGAAATAACAGCAAAATTTAACCAGCTACCAAGTATTGGGTTATTCCAGAATTGCGTTTTCAATTTTATAGGCAAGGTTGGGGCATTTGGCCCATTTTAAAAGTGTCTTCAGTAATATGTTGTCCCATATTTACTCCTGTTGCAGGAGTTAAAATATGCACAAAAAAGGAAAAAGAAGCAGTCTTAAAATATCATTCAGCTGCGCTATCGTCCTAACTGACAATAGATCTGAAAGAGTGGGAGAATATTATTTTCCTTTCTTTAGAAAGGAAGCCCATGGAGTTTTAGACTTCATGGGCATCTGGGATGACAACTAAAAACCAAAAAAGTGCTATGATTCTCAGGTTTGAAAAGGTACAAATGGTCCCACAAGAATAATATTTGTCTGATATTTTCCAAAAGAGCTTAATGATAGTTTGATGTGTCCATTGAGACCTGGAGCATTAGAACTGTTCTAAGAAAGTGATAATGGATGGCTTGTTCTTTCTCTAAGTACAAGAGTTTCCACGCTAAATTGTAGCTTCTTTCCTTTTGTTTAAGGTTCCTCCAAGGAGACTCTTTAAATTCACAACCTTTACGATTGTTTCGTTGGAAATATTAAAAAGCCCTTTACCTTTGGGTTATGAACTTATGTTTTGCCTCCCTCTCTTTGTCTGCCAGCATATACTGGAAACTTGGGATTTTCTCCAGAGATTGTTTTCCCTATTTACCTTTTCATCATCTATTGACCTAGTTTCCTTCATGCAAATGCAGCATGGAACTAATAGAAATAGTCCAATAAAAATTAATTTAAAATTTTAAGTGTTTCTAATTTAATATTTTAAAGGAAGACTATTATAAGATAAAGATAAAATAAAGATACACTTAAGGAAGGCAAAACTCTAGAACTCTTGGTTCAGATGCATTTAATGAATTATACTTTAAAACAATCACTAGTAGTAAAAATCATGTGCAGTAGATAAAGTTGTAAATGTACATAGTGTTTTATGAATGGAGAATATAACATGTTTCGTGCCCTGAATGTCTTACAATTTAAATTAATTCAGTTTTGTAACAATACACTTTGTTTAGAAAAAACAGTCAAAAGTAGAAATATAGTAAAAAATAAATTAAAAAAAAAAAATCAAATCTTATTCTACCCTGTTTTATAATGCTACATCCTTAAGCAACATTTAAGTTTAAAAAAACCCCACACAAACCTAAATGGAACGTTTGTCTTTGGTCTCGCTCTGCTTCTCAGCAGGCCTTTTTATTTAAATAACCTTCAGGCATTTTTATGTATTCTGAAAGAAATTTCATTTTTGTTTTTTGCGATTTAGATAGTCTAAAAAGGGGGTACTGAGGTACAACTGCTTGAGGACAAGAAATACTCTGCACTAGCAAGTGTTTTCTGTGGTACTACAGCAGGCAGAGTCTGTGGCCCCTGGAGAATTTCAGGACAGGTTAGGTATACCGGTTTTTTTGAAGGCAGAGCTTTTTCTACCTCCAGGGACATTCAGCCGTTATATACTCCATACTACTGATGAATTCTTTAAGTACAAGTCATAGCCTTCTACATACCAGTGATGCTTTACAGAAATTGGACAATATACTACAGAGTGTTTCTTTTTTTAGATTCTAATTAAGTATTATCAAACAACGATGGAAATTTTTGATTGGTGACTGAATTAATTTCATAAGCTGTTAGTTTGAGATTTAATTGGAGTGATCTTCATAAGTGGGAGACTTCCTGGGTTAATCTGTTTTTCAATAGTAAGATCACTAAATAGTTCTTTTTCTTACACCAGATAAAACAGGGAGTCACTTTGTTTTACCAGTGCTTTCAGATTTCATTGGGGAATAAATATGACCAACACTTTACTATCTCTGATAAAAATGGTTAGGAAGGCTAATTAGATTATATCTATGCAATTAGTAGTCCCATTGTAGATCTCTCATTGTCATTTTCTTATCAGTTACTGTTTTCTTGGGAAATTTTTTAGTCCTTTTTCCTTTGTGACCAGACATTCTGTTCCAGATAGAAGGCAGTCTTGCAATTATGTGTCCTGAGCCTTTTATTTAGAACACAGTTTCCCAGGCTGTGATGCATGTACAATATTAGTCATGTGAGTTTCATGTTCCATCATTTCAATTCACAAGTTTTTAAGGAGATACCTGAACCAATAAAGTTTGAGAACCATTGGTCTCTTATGGAATAGGTAAAGAGGTTCTGCTTAATTCTGCTGGAATTAAGCTTTTGAATACAGTGACATCAGGTACCCTGACCTTACATCACAATTATGGTCTAAATACTATATGGTCATGTTATAATTAATTACCAGTAATTGACGTAATTGAAAGGTCAAGTACATAAGTATATTACTTATTACTGTTTTCTTTTCCTGTTAAGCATGATAATTTTAGAATTCAACTATATTAACTACACTGTATAAGCACTATATTTGTTTTCAATTACATGGTTGTATGACACTTGGCTATTGTGTAACAGCTTTAAAAAATTGCTGTTGAGGTTTGCCAGCGCCTGTCACTTTGCATTCTTCTGGCTTAACCCAGGAAATGAATCTCTTCCATTATGTAACAGGAGATATGGCCTTCAGCATTGCCATAAACTACACTGACAGGCAGTGGACTCCAAAGGCTGCATGGGCAGCCAGGCATAGTGGGGATATAGACATCTTTCTCTTGGACATGTTATTCGTATGTTGCCAGCCAAGAAGATAGTATTGGGGTGTTTTAAGGAAACCTCCATTACCTGGCTCCACTAGAGTTAAATCTGTGTTGTTCTGGGAAATGGGACTGTGAAAATTGTGCGTACCCTGTTGTTTTGAGAGCTGGGAAAGTTATAGCTCATGTTTAAACATCTTCAGCTATCACCAGTCAGTCTTCCAAATAGTCTTTCCATAAAAAAGAGGGCAGTCTGATTTGGGATCTTCTCAATGAATTAAAAAAAAACACTTATTTTTAAAAAATAAATGACTAACTTCATGGGACATGGCACAAACAAAAGTTTGTTACTGTTTATTTTCCCTTTTAACCAATTGGTCAGGTGCTTATTTGGATAGCATGGTTCTCTGTTTCCTCCGTTGTCACTGCTCATTTAATCTTTTGTGTGACTAATGGAGCACTAGTATCCAAGGGGGAGGAATTTAAATATATTATTGAAAGAGAAAACAAGGTTTCTCAACTGTCACTGAAGCTCTGAGAATACACTGCCTGTGCAAGTTCATGCTTCCACCCGTATTTCTATTTCTACATGAACTTGTGGTGAAAGTATTTTTAGGTAGATCTATTACTAGCCAATGCTGTCTTTTTCCTACAATTTTTAGTTGTTTTTTGTTGTTGTTGAATGTTTAGATATGGAAAAATATCAACATAGGAATGTTGTTAATATGATTCTGAAATGTTTAGTTTGGTTAGTTATACATTCTGTCAGTTACTTTTTGGTTCTCTCTTTGTTGTTTTTTTTACTTTGTTTGGCCTCTAATCTTTCTCACCACTTTGTGTCAGTTCTAAGCATCTGTTACCCAGTCTCTCCTTTGATATATACATCTTCTTTCTCTAAGCATCTTATTCCATCAATCCTCTTGTATTTCTTATCCTCTCCTATCTCCTCTGTACCTTTCCTTTTTGTTCTTCCTGCATTTTCTCTCTAGGCCAGAATGAATTGCAGTTGACAAAATATTCTTCCTCTGCTGCTCTCATCGACAGTGCTTTTTTCACAGTACGTGATATTTGTCAGGTTTTCTTTTGGTTCAGTTCTTGTGTTCCTGCAATCTTGATCTTTGTTCCCAGTTACATGTCAACAAAGTCAATAGACCAGCCCTGGGAATATCTTGAGAAATATCACCCCAAGATATCAAGGAATAGTTTGTTCCCTTCTCAGTTCTCAAAAGAATTTTATTGCTTTTTAAGGACACATAATCCCCATTGGAAACAGTGCTTCTCTTCTCCTTTTCCTCCTCATTTCTATTATTTTTTTACGTGGTTGTTAATAGTACTTAGACCATTTAGATTTCTTAACAGTTCTTTAACAGTTCTGCCAGTACCCACCTGAAACAACTCATGTAGAGAAACTGTTGTTATCACTGTCAACTTTTTAACTGTATTTTCTTTCACATTCTTTTTTTTCTGTTTTCCGTCCAACACTTCTATCTCAGACCTGACAGAAGTTGTGGAAAAATAGTTTCATTTCCTTCTGTGTTCAGGTGTATAGATCAATTTCTTCCAGCTTCATGTAATCGTAGTTCTCCATAGTTCCACCACAGTGCCTACAATAATATTGCTGAAGATGTAGTAAAAAATAATGAAAGGTACCTTATTTGGAGCTGAAAGTTTAGTAATGAATGAGGAAGGCCAAGTAATAGGTAATATATCACTGGTAAAGAGATTTTTTTTAAGGGAGCATAAGTCTCATGAGGCAGAACTCCTTAGAGTATTACAAATACTTGGGTACATTTGTGTTGTTGATAAATCTGCTGGACAATTCTTCCAGATGGAGTAACTTTGAAAGAAGGCAGCCCACGTGGCTATGAGGGCCCCAACATAACAGATGGCTTGTCACTTCCATGTAATACAAGAGCAAGGAGAGACAGGGAAGTTCAAATGCAACTAGAGAATGATCAGAGTAGTCAAATGAATTATTCATTAACTAAACTGGGCAAGTAACCAAATCCAGCATGTGATACTTAGCACGTGGAACTGGCTAGTGAACTCTATGAAAAGAATTCCAGTCTTGGAAAGAAGTTATTATGAACCAGGGATGACACCCTGGTGAGTAGTAAATGTATTTAAAATCAAAAGCTGTATGATCAGATGTCAGTAAAGGTATTAGTGCCGCACAATTTTTGTTAATGTAAGCATAGCTGAAAATGACCAGGAATACATGACTGATGAGAAATTTAGAAATGGAAAAGATAAAATAAACAAACTTTGGAGCACATGAATAGATATCAAGTGATGGTCATAAAAAACCTCCAGTGTTGCATCTATCGGAAATTACTTGAGAACTCTGCAGAAATATTTACACTTTACGTAAACTTTACAATTATGTTTTATTTGGGTAGCTTTACCAAATTGCGAGTGTGCTATCAAATGCTGTAGATAAATTTCTGTTCTGTTCAAGTTTTTGGGTGTAATGCTCAAGTAAAAATTGTGAACCTGTGACAGTCAATGGATGTTTTAATAAATAAATAAACTGTTTATAAACTGTTTATAAATAAATAACAGTTTAGTTAAACCTGGCTTTTACTAGAGGGGTCCTTAAAGTGGTAATAATAAATATAATATACTAGTATTATAGCAATTTGATGGTGGCGGTGGTGGTGTTATTCAAATAATAATGCAATATAGTATAATATTAGAACAACAAATACAATTTTAGAGCACCTAAAAGTGAGCTACAATTCTCTCAACAATCAAGATACCAAGGAAACAGCTAAGCAGTCCAAGTAAGGTATCTACAGGCAGTCCTTGGACTTACAACCCAATTGGTTCCTGAAAACCGTTAAGTCGAAACATTGTAACTTGAAACTGCTTTTCTCATAAGAAACAATGTTATAAATGGGGGATTGGTTCTTGAACTAAGGCCCGATACCCTATTTTCACCAAAAATACTCCAGAATTTTGTACTCAATCAATTATAGATGAGTAATATAGCTACATTAATGTATTTATATTGTAAATAGCAATCATATTGATTTGGAAGGACTTCTTTGAGGTGACTTTGTTGGACTTTTTAAAGGCTCTTGGTTGGACTTTTTGGAGGGTTTTTGGCTGCAGTCTTCTCAGGAGTTTTGGCTGCAGGTTTTTCTGGAGTCTTTCTGGAGTCTGCTTTCTTAAAGAAGGTGTCCAAGGAAGTTTGGACAAATGTTCTCCAGGGAGATGAGTGATTCAGCAAACTTGTTTGCTGGTGTGGCGTGGCGTCGCATTGGATCAAGCATTGTAAAGTCGAAACTGGCGTCATAAAGTTGAAACAGGGTGTCAATTTATAAACATAAGTGCGAAACATTGTATCTCAAAACGTTCTAAGTCAAGGGCTGCCTGTATTTATTTAGTAAATTTACTGTAGGTCTGAGGATAATAGAGGTTACCTGAGGCTTTTTGCTTGATGTATTAAAAGATTTAGAAGATAACTCAAGATTTTATCTTCTACAAGAGGTAACTTAGCTTATCTAACCAGCATGTGATACTTAGCACGTATAGAAGGCTAATGAGCTTTATGCAACTTGTTTTATCCTTGCTACATGTCTTGCATTACCATCAATGACAACATTTTTTTGATTTATTGAAAACAATGACCCTGTGAATATTGTTAAGATTTGTTTGCATTCTAGATGCATTTAATCTATTTAGAAACAAGAAATCGGGGTAGATATTCAGCTGTCATGTAGGTATACAGACTTCACTATTATGCTTCCTGATTTATATCAGCTCATTATAACTCCAACATTTCTACAGGTTTATCTGGTTTTCTATGCAGGCTGTTAGATATGAGAAGGAAGGAGAGAAAATAAATACACAATATAGAACTATTGTTTTGCATCCAGTTCCTTTTCTCTCCAGCTCCCATCCATGTGGGAGCTCAATATGTCTCCTATTCAGCTTGGTAGGAAATGAATAAATGTGTATCCAGTAATTCAAACACTAAGCAAATCCTCAAAAGTGAATAATATATAGTTCACCTTACCAGGTAAGTCATTCAGTTCAGTAACCTTCCCTAGGTGCTTCCAGTACTTTTTAACAACTATCCTCTATTGCTTTCCTAGAAGCAATTAGTAATTGTGTACTTAAGTTATCAAACCACCCAAGTTTGAAAATGCTGGCTGTGTTTTGGCTCCCAGCCCCTGTATCTGAACCACATGGCCATCTTTCCTGTTGTAAAAAGCTTTGAGATACCTTGCGTGGAAATGATGTTGTATAAACATAAATCCTATACTATTCTAAGCTTAGTCTGAGGTTTCAGTTTCATTTTATGATTTGTTATCCATCCTGACCAGTATTCTTTCTTACAAACACTTTTATATTTTATTTGACTGGTTATTCAAAAACATTTATTCCAAAGGTATATTGTAAAATATAGTCCTTAATTAAGTCTTTAGTTGTATTGAGCTCAAAGTTTATTCATATATTGGGATGTTCTTTTTGATGATTTTCTTCTATTATATCAATATTTGTATTACCTGATAGTGTTTATGTTGGCCATCTCCTTGGTTAATGGATTAGCTCCAAGCTCTACATAGTATTTCTTTCTACAAGGAACCTTTTGAAAGA